ATCCGAACGATGGGAAGAGTACGACAGGACACATATTCTACCTCAATGGTTGTCATGTTACTTGATGTTCACAAAAACAAGAGATTATTGCTTTATCTTCTTGTGAAACTGAGTATGTGGCGGCCACGGAGACAGAAAAGCAAACGATATGGTTACAGGAGCTTATTGGTGAAATCTAGAGTAATGAAGTGAAGAAGGTCGTCGTTCATATTGATAATATAAGTCGGCAATTGCACTTGCGAAAAATCCAGTATTCCATGGACGTAGTAATACATACGAGGTTTCACTTCATAAGGGAGTGCGTTGAAGATGGTTTTGTTGATGTCGAACATGTAGCAGAAACATAACAAAAGGCTGATATTCTAACCAAAGCACTTGGAAAAATCAAGTTCAAGGAGATGAGGGATCTTATCGGGGTTCAAGATGTTAAGAATGGTAACTTCAAACTAAAGGGGGAGAATGTTGACTTAAGCTAGAAGTTAACTTAGATTACAAGTTATCCTAATGAGTTTAGGATTAGAAAGATTTAGAGTTATCGATAAGATATGTTTTCTAATGAGTTTAGGAACTTATAAGTACTATATAAGGAGATACTAAGTTTGTGGCATAACTTGTGAGAATGTGAGAAAACTTTAATTTTGAGTTAAGTTTCTAAAGCTATAATAAAGTGAGTTCTTATAGAGATCATATTCTTGGTTATCAGTGTTTGCAATTCAATATCATAATTATATCAAGATTAGAATCCGGGAAAGAGAACACATGTGAAAACTTTTGTTCATGTATGTCCCACTACTCCCACACAGCTCATTCATTCAGATGATCTTATATATAACCATGGAAACCGTATTCTTGTATGTCCTACAGAACACTTGAAAGATCTACATATACAGACCAAAGGCAGAATCAGTAACTCCACACCATCAACAACAAACAAGCAATCAAAGAATTTGAAACTCCAAATAATCAAATCTTTAGATTTCAGAGAGCAAAATATGGCATTGGTAAGAGGTTTCTTGGCTGCAAAAATGATTTTTGGAGGCTCATTAGCAAGAACTAACAAAGCAACTTCAGCACCAAAAGGGTTTCTTCCGGTGTAAGTGTTGTGAAACAAACGCGAATCAACTTGAAGAAAAGCGAAGAGAGCAAAACGAATTAAGGCAAATACCTGTTTTAGGGTTTGTATATTATTATGTGAATAAATAATTTTACAATATTTTAGACTCATACTTATAGTAGTCTCAAAACCCAATTTTCTTTTCCCTATATGACTACGTTCGGCCCAACAAATGCTGGACTTTTACTGGAGCACAGAGATTTAAGACACATCCAGATTGTAACAGTAGAAAATTAAATATAGTATAAAATTTTATTAATATCAAATTAAATAAGTTTGTAATTATATGTATGGTTTATTTTAAATATTTTTATATTAATTTAAGTAGACAAGTAATTTTTCATATATATTATATATTATATTTGGTTATTACTTGGGTATTTGGATTGCGTCAGCTTCTCCGAATTTAATCATTTTTTTGTTTTGAACTGATTAAAAAGTTTGATTAATTTTTTATTTGTTTTAGACTTTTGATTTTGGGTATAAGAATTTCAATTGTTTAAGTTATTCATTTTGTAGGTTATATTGAGTTACATATATTTCATTAAATCTAAGCACGACTACTTTTCATTCTAGTTAAACAAAATTTGGTTAGTTTATTTATTGTGTTAGTCCAGTTCTTTATCTTAAATATGTAATTACATTTTGTAATTTTTCATATAATTTTCTTTTTTGTTGATTGTAAAAGTAATAGAAAGAACTAAAGTAATGATAAGAAAGAAATATACTGATTAAATTTTAAAAATATATCCGAACAAAAAAGCTTCATTTTCAAATTAAGTAAGAGGTGTTATCATTTTCAAAAAAAAAAATCAGTTTACCTTTCAATACATCTAAGACATACAAATTATTTAAAATTTATAAAATTGTTTAATTATTGTAGATATATTGATATGCATTCATGAGCTTTGAAAATTTATCAGTTATACTTATGTATGTAACTTCTTATTGATCATCGCTTTATTTTCTAATATTTTTAAAAACCCCAAGATAATTTAATAAATATTATGAAAACACATGCACATTTAAGCGATAAATAAAATAATTTGATTTGATTTTGATTTAGTTATCTGATAATTATACTTCAGTTTAAATTAAAAGAATATATGCAATTCAATATAGTCACAACATGAGTGATTCGATTAATCCAACTAATATTCAAAATTAAAGATCTAACTACAATAAAAAATATAATTTATAATAGTAGTCTATTTATTTTTTACATATAAATTATAGGATAACTCAATACAGTTAGTTCTTTTGTAAAACTTATATACAGTATATGCATGAAACTTGAGAAAATTATCATCATATTCATTTATGTAAATTTGAATCAAACACTACGATTTATCTTTAATATAATTCTAAGCACAATATATTTTAAGTTACACATAATATTACTAATATGTATTTACATATGTAAGACAATAACCAAACTAAAGGCATATAAAAATAATCAAATATTTAATATATTTAAAATAAAAAATATTGATGAATTTAGAGAAATATATGCAATCCAAAATATCAAGTGATAACTAAATCCATTGTTGACCCCAAAAAAAACAACCAAACTGAGTAGATGCAAATCAAAAATTATATGTCCGGTTAATAATACAATATTAGTAAGATAAATTATACCATTAAATTATAAATTAATTTAAAATAAAGATAATTATCAAACAATTATTATAATTTATTTACTTTTTAAATATTTATATCCATATATGACCACCACTAATGCAATAATTATCTACTTTTTTCTCTGTTTCATTATTGATAAAAAAACAAAGTACATTCGTACATGAGCACCATTTACTAGTCTTATCATATTTATCGTTGTGAGTAGGAGAAAGGTTGATGCACCATTTATCTACGCTTTCGAGTGGGCCCAAGAAAAAGGGGTCACATGTATGTTGTATTAATATTTTTAGTATTGTGTTAATTTTGACCAAGTTCATTCTCGAGTTTTTTTAATGTACTCTCATTTATAATGCCTTATATAATCCTTGTGAATGTCATTTTATAATATCTAATAATTTTAATTTTTTCTTTTTGACATACAATAACATATTTTATCAATACATTTTACCAACTAATTGAATGCTTTTAGCTGATGTCAAAAAATAAAATGAATGCTTTTAGCTCCTTGATCATACGTATCGTAACATTTTTGGTAGTCTTGTTTTATTCCAAAATCTATAAAATCACAAATATTCTAATATTAAAAATTCTAACAGTAGAAACACGAAAACAAATAAAAATATATACGAAGGGATATTTTAATATCCGTACTGCAATGAACATTAGATATTATGAGGAAAATAGTGAAAACAAATGCGATCAATATGTTTTAGGAGGTACCCATTTTTATTATATTTTCTTATTTTTTGAGTATCTATTTACTTTAGTTTTTTATATATAATAGCATATTTTCATAAAAAAGATTTCCTGCTAAAAATCTTTAATTTGATTTATTGGATTATAGACAAATCATTTAAAATAATATCCTTACACAATCACATTTTCATTGGTACAAAATCTTCTCTTATTTCAAAAATATATTTTCAATATATTATGTACTTCTAAATTAATAGTTATAAACTAAAGTTAATAATGTGTTTACTTAATCATTAACTTTTCTTATATATCTTATATAATAATTATTGTACAAACGTTTTTTTTTTGGGATTTGGAAAAATGAAATAATCTAGAAAATAAAATCACTATAATTTTTAAATGTACCCTTATAACAACATTCGTTTTTATTTTTAACTTTTCTTATATATCTTAGAAAATAAGATGGTATATTTTTAACACATCTTCAAATTTTAAAAAATAAAATTATCAACCATGGGACATTTTAATACATGTCACAATTTTAACAGGATAATTTTTTTTAAAGGATAATTACTATAGTAAAATTATAATTTCCATCTTATCTTATATAATAAAATGATATATTTTATTTTATTTTTAATTATCATGTGCTGCAATCGTGTTAGTTAACAAATTTGAATAACCAAACTTTATATAATTAGACATATTTTTTTAATTCATTTTTAAACTTATTATGGTTTCTTTTTTTATTACATAGGTTATTTGGAGAAAGTTAAAAGGAAAAAAAATCAAAGTTAATAAGAATATTTTAATATAATATTTTAATTCATTAAAGATATCTATGTAATTAACAGGTCTGAAAATTAATGTGAGCATGAGACACATGAAACTCATTTTTCAAATAATATTATAGAGATATTCCTCTGTGTAATAATATATGTTGTTTTAGAAAAAAATTGATGCTTAAAACTATAAGGTGTTTCGAATTTTTACATTACTTTTTAAAAAAAATGTTTAACAAATTAAATTTTACAGTTTTTATAGAAATTTTTACAGTTTTTATGATTGAAGCAATGTTTTTTAAGTCAGGATGCCACCTAATTTCTCATGGTTTTCAAGAATCTTGTAAAAATATATTATTTTAAATTGAGTAAAATTTTTATTAATCAACGTTGGATTTTAATTTTCTATACTATTAAATTTTGTTATAACATTTTCCGTTTAATAAATACAACAATAAAAAAAAATTGACTAAGGATGCATTAATGATTATATATCAGGAACTCTGCATTTCGAATCCTGGAAAAGACGAAATGATGCAAATTAATGGTGAAAAATTTTACAAGAACTTGAAACATGACGCAAGGAAAACCATCAAGGATGGATCTAGCGCAAAGAAAACCATCAAAGATAGATCTGATAGAACAGATTATGTAATGCACTAAGACAAGAATACTCATAAAACATGTAAAATTGTTTATAATATTTTTCATAGTTTATAATACTTCATAACTATCCAGAAGTGAATTAACTAAATTAATAGAGTTAGTTTTAATATTTCTTCTAATAATTAAGCAACTACCCAGAAAAAAAAACTATATAAAAATATATATGATTATCATTGTCATTTTACAACATCAATAAATAACATAACATCAATGAATTGATGTAGATATCTATAAATCTTCTCGTTTCTCAAACTCAAAGGCGAGAAATTGGAGTCAAGAAAGAATAATCTGTGTAGCCAATAACTGGATCTTGAGTGTAAAACGTCTTCCGATCATATTTATTCAACTTAGCAGCAACCTTAAACCGTGAAACCAAATCTGGGTTTGCAATAAACAGTCTGCCAAAGGAAACCAAATCAGCATCCCCTTGCTGAATGGCTTGCATACCAAGTTCCTTGTTGAAACCTCCACTAGACATAAACGTTCCGTTGTAAGCCATACGTAAGCTCTTCATTAACTTGGCCTCTTCCTCATCACTGCCTTGCCTTCCAGATTCTGTTTGCCCATAGGCGTGGTACCGAGGCTGTGTTACATGAAGGTAAGCAAGCTTCGAGCCAGTATCATCCTGTAACTTATTGAGCAAATCAACCACTGCTAGTCCTAGGGATAATGGGTCAGAATCAGTTGCATCGAGATGGTCTATTGCTGGAGATATCCTCACACCAACTTTACTAGCTCCGATGGCTGATACCACACCTTTCACGACCTGCAATCAACCCAATACTTTTCAGTGCCATAACCAATATGAATCGTATTAATTCAAAAATCTAAAACTCAGAAGAAAATCTATTTTGATTTATATTTTATTGAAATGATTTATAAAATATAAAATATTTTATTTTTAAACAAATAAGCTTTCCTTTCAACTTAGATGTTTACTTATAATGGCAATTAGCAAATATAGTGAACAATGGTTTTCAACTTAGATGTTTACTCGAAGAACCTCTGTTTTGCTAAGAACATATATTTTATCTTTCAAAAACACGTAAACGTTTTAATATACAGTGAGAATATTTGAACCTCAAGTAAAAATCTGCAACGGTTTGCTATGGGGCCTCCATATTGGTCCGTACGATCATTGATTCCATTCTTCATAAACTGATCAAGGAGGTAACCATGAGCTCCATGGATCTCAATCCCATCGAAACCAGCTCGGATTGCGTTCAAAGCCGAGTTGCAATAATCTTCCACCACTCGAGGTATCTCCGAAGCGTGCAGAGGCCTAGGTTTCGGGTATTTCCCGTGTGATCCATCAGGCAACAAGACTCGCCATCTTTCTGAGATGGGTTTGTCTGTTGACGATATTGGCGATCCTCCATTAGGTTGATACACTGTTCAAAATCCAAGAGACAATATTACTTGTTTTTCCAATTTTATTTCAAAAACATTTTAGTAAGTAAGAAGGCATACACGGATGAGAAGCACGTCCAACATGCCATAATTGACAGAAGATAAAACCTCCTTTAGAGTGAACTGCTTCCACAACTTGCTTCCATGCCTCTACTTGCTTCTCCGAATAGATTCCTGGTACATGTGGAAACCTGAAATTTTTTTTTCAAATAAATTAGATTATTTCCAGTCAAGTAGTAGTCCCCGTTATTATATAAGTCATGTCTATTGTAACAGATGTTAATAAACATTCGTTTTGAATTTGATGTGCAACTAGTTGTGATCTCAACTTTTTTGTCTGAATGTGTTGCTGGGATTTAAAACCAAAACACAAATCTAATTGCTTTTTAAATGTCAACAACCTTTTATAACAGCTTTACGAAACTTTACTGTTATATGTTTGTAACAGTACAGTTGACTTTTCATGATACATTTTAACTAAACAGTAGTCAAGAGAAAAAAAGAAAGAAATTACCCTGCAGATCCGGGAGAGACCATGGTGCCTTCGGAGATGAGAAGACCGCCGGGAGTTGTGCGTTGAGAGTAGTACTCTGCCAACGCCGCGTTTGGAATGCCGTTTAACGCCCTGCACCGTGTCATCGGAGCCAGAACCACTCTGAAAACGCAAAAGCGATATGAGATTCACGTTCATATACACTATTAACTGAGATCATCAATCAATCAGCTAAATCGAATCACCTGTGGGAGAGATCGAATCTTCCCATCTTGTAAGGAGAGAAAAGTGTGTCCCTGGAGTTTTCCTTCGCTGCCATATCTCCGACGACGAATCAACTAAAATTTGCAATCGAGCCAACAACCAAAAATCTCAGATCTGAGAAATCAACGGTCAAAATAGATTATTGAAAGAGTGAAAGTTGTGGACTTCGACTGATTGTTAATTGAATTTATACACAAAGGTCTGTTAAATGGGGCGGAGGAGGAAAGTTTTTGGGATCTTGGACCGACCTCACCGACCACTCTTTTCACGTGCTGATTTGTTTAGTTTGGTCTGCTTGAGATATTTCTTTATTCTTCTATTTGACCTTTTATGATTTTCTTATGAGATTGTTTAAAACACTGCAACTAGGTCTGGGCGATCTCCTATCGGATTTTAGTTTGGGTTCATTCGGGTTTCGGATTTTCGGATTCATGAATTTCAGTCCCATTCGGATATTAAAAAAATTCGGGTCGGATTCGATTCGGGTTTAGTAAATGTCGAAGATCCAATTAAACCCGACATAATTTCAGTTTCGGATACTAATCGGGTTATTGGTTCTAAAAATACAAATTTATACTCGATTAAACTCAATATATTTTCAATCATTTTATTAAATTTGTGTATTTAACTTCTTCAAGCCCTATTATTGTCCTTCCAAATAATATTATGAACATCGTCTATCATTGAACTATATGGGACAACACTAAGCATATCATGATTAATGACAACCAAAGTCTTGTATGAATGAAAATCATAAATAATGAAACATAAAAAGTCAAAGCTAGCAACTAGCAATTCTATAAACGTAATAAATCTACTATATTAAAATAGAAGTACAAAATAATAATTGCCTATTTTTAAGTGATTTCTTTTACAGATTTTGTTTCCATTTTAGTTAATTTTAATCACTTCATTTATTATTTTTTTCTAAATAATCACTTTATTTATTGTAATCACTTCATTTATTATATTTCATGTATATAGAATCCGTATGGATTCGGTTTTGATGTATGAAAATTTTAAAATATCCTAAAGACTAATGTATCCGAAACGTGTTCGAATATTTATACCAAAATAACTATATTAACCGATTCGATTCGGGTATTTTAAAGCCAAACTAAAAATAACTAAGAGTAATCATAATATCCTATTTGATTCAGATTCAGTGCTAATGTATAGGACTTAAAAATATTAAGTTAATTATATGAAGACACACATAAAATATATAACTTAAATTATGAAAAATATTAATTTAGAAAAATATAAAATTGAACACCTGCACGCAATCTCTAGTATTATTTAAACTTAAAAACAGCATTATTTAAACTTCAAAATAAATTTATTCGTAATTTAACTTCAACTGTAATGTCAATCATAAACATTAGTATTAACCATATGAAACTATATATTAGACTAAATATTTGAGTTAATTATTCATATAATAAATAATTATTGTAGGTACTTAATAATATATTCATGTCTTTTAGAAACATACATATTAGAAATTTAGATTGGGTATGGTACAAGTTTTTATGGAATTTTAATGTTTTGAATTATTTTGAATATCCATTTAAGTTCGGGTTCGGTTTGGGGAAAACTCATTATCCGAAATACCGTAAAACAAGATCCATTCGGTACTTATATCGCGTTCGGATCGGTTCGAGTTCCTTTTTATCATGTCGAGTTTGGTTCGGATTTTCGGGTTCGTTTTTTTTGCTCAGCCCAAACTGCAACTTTATATTTTGTAAAGGAAACTAGCTTACGTAATTTACATTTGTTACAAAAATTACATTAACTATTTTGATTAGGGAAAATTCTTTAAAAATACACAAATTAATTTTCATCTGCTAATAAAATCCCCTATATATTAATTGAGGATCATTTAAAAAGTTATAACCTTAAGTTTGTACTAAATTAAAAAAAAAATATCATCCTATGTGGCAGTTCTATATTCCTTCAAAATTCTATTTAGAAGAATTGTAGAGCATCTTATATAAAACATAATTTTAAAACAAAGTTTGTTGGTCTCATATAAGACATATCAAACTAAATAACATATTAAACTAAATCTCCTATATATTCTTTCTTTAAATAAAACCTAAGGAATTACTTAATGTGATTAAGATATATATATGACTATTAATAATTTTAAATAATAAAGATTTGTTAACAATCTGTATACTTTATATAATTTTAGTTTAACTTTTTATTATTAAAATAAATTACACAACTACACTAATCATATGATAAAAATTTAGATTTTTTTTCTATATATGTTGTATTTTGAAATTTTCAAAATGAGTATAAATTAGTAAAACTGTTAAAAATGAAAAAAATATATGAACTGGACCCATTAAATTCTAAGTATTGCTCTACAGTTCTAATTACAATTGTTTCTAATCCTATGTATATATAATTATATAAAAAATTCCAAAATTCCAAATACATATAAAAAAAATGATATGTAAATTTTAAATTAGTCAATACTAAAATTTTACATTTTAATCACATACACTCACCCTGCGCAATGCGCAGGTCTTATCCTAGTACATGAACTATTTTAGATCCTCATTTAATACATGAAATAATTTTCGTTATCTATTAAATATACGAACTTTTGAAATGTGTAGGATTTATGCATCACTTTAGACGGTGTTAACTATGTTTAACGGAAGTTGGCGACGACATTAATGTTTAATTAAGTATGTGGTAAATTGTGAAAGAAATATTCTTTAAAAATACACGAACTAATTTTTATTTGTTAATAAAATACACGAACTATTTTGGATCTCCGTTTAATACACAAACTAATTTTTGTTTCTCGATAAATACACAAAATTTTGAAGTTTGCAGATGTTACACATCAATTTAGATGACATCAACTATGTTTAAGAGAATTTAGGCTATGTCAACTATTTTTGACATAAGTGAAAACAATGTTAGTGTTTAATTAAGCACAAATTAAACTATGAAGGAAAAAATCATTAAAAATATCATGATAGACTATATTGTTAGCTTTTTTCTCCATTATGGTTTCATATTTTAAATTAGCCTTGATTGACACATTATCACTGTAATCAAATGAATAATAAGAATCATAAATACATAACATCAAACTAATTCCAAAATCTGAAACTCTTTAAAGTTATATAGTTTTCTTTGCTATTTTTTGCGACATGTAAATTGACTCCAATTCGAAGAAATGTAAAAGGAAATCAAAGTGAGAAGAATAAAAAGAATAAGGTTTGGAGAATAAGAGATGTTGGAACATATTAGGGTTCTAAATTTGAATTGAATCTAATTTGAATTAGATCTCAATTGATTTGAGAGTTTTCATCTTAGGGTGAGCGAGCTTTTCACAGTTTAACCACACATTTAATTGAAACTAACGTGCTAACATATATAACGTTGTCAAAATCATTGTGTAAAATCGGACAATTTCAAAAGTTTGTGTATTTAATAGGAAAAAAAATTATTTCATGTATTAAACGAGGATTCAAAATAATTCATGTATTTTATTAGCAAATAAAATTATGTTCGTGTATTTTTAAAGAATTTTTCTTTCGCAATTTACCACGTGCTTCATTCAACATTAATGTCGTCGCCAACTTCCATTAAACATAGTTAACACCGTCTAAAATGATTCGTAAATCCTATGAATTTCAAAAGTTCATGTATTTATAGATAACGAGATAGTTCATGTATTAAACGGGGAGCCAAAATAGGTCGTGTATTTTATTAGCAAATAAAAATTAGTCTGTGTATTTTTAAGGAAATTTCTCATTTTGATTACCCATGTAAAATACAGACGAATTTTTGTAATCCGTTTAGTACATCAAATTTTAAAAATTGAATATTTAACACATCGTTTTGACGACGTAAACAATATTTACAGAGAGGCGGCGTTAGTGCTTATTTTATAAAAACACAATCACCTTCAATTCTCAAAAGAGTATGTATTAAATGGGTAAGGAAAATTAATATGTGTATAAAATTGACAATCGAAATAATTCCTGGATGAGGCTAAAAATATAAATTACTTTGGATATTTTACGGAATTTTCTTTAAATAATATCTCTAATTGATTTACAATAAAACCCTAATTTTTTCTATCTTAGACATATCCAAATCGATTACGAACCATAATCTCTTCCAAATTCTCTTATTTTTTATTCTTCTTCTTTGCTTAGATTTTTCTTTCAAGTTAGCTCAATTTAAATATACGAAGGAGATAATGAAGATAAGGTACTGAGAAGAAAAATCAAAAATGAGCTCCTATAAGTGAGGTATTCGATTTTGACCAATATTGTAGTAAATTGTAGTCTATCAATGTTAATTTGCACTATGAAGACGTAATGAAACGTAAAGACGATAATGTTAACTATCAGGGAGGATCTCTGAAGAACGATATTGTTATTGATCCATATTACATATATGTGGATGTGTTTAATTAATCACTAACGTCGTCTTCTTAGCCCTTTTAACATCAAAACTGATCCGTAAAATATTTGGTTTTAAAATATTTATGTATTAAACATGTAAAAAAAATACGATTGTGTATTAAATCACTACAAGTATTTATAGGGATTTTTTCGTTTTTAAAGGTAATCGTTTTTTTTTCAAAGTTTAAGCAGTAATGTCGTATTAACTTTCTGTTAAACATCGTTCACGTTGTCAAAGTTGATGTGTAAAACCTTCAATTTTCATAAGTTTATATATTGAAGGGGTAATGGAAATTAGTCTGTGTATTAAATTGATAATCAAAATAGTTTATGTATTTTTGTAGAAAATGTAAATTACTTCATATATTTTTAGGGAATATTTTCCATTTGTAAATAAAATTAATTTCAGAATCTGAATCACTTGGAAGTACTAGAATAAAAATATTTTTCAGAGAAATGTTTTTAAAATTCTGAACTAAACAAGGAAATTATTGAAATGAGGATGATGAAAACAATATAGCGTGACAAAAAGATTTTTTTGAGAAATTATTTTTTAAAGAATGTTCTTTTATGTTTTATTAGTTGAGATATATATATATATATATATATATATATATATATATATATATATATATATATATTGACATCAAAATAAAGACAGACTCATATTGACTCTGCGAACCAAGGTGGTAGCTCCATATCCATGTGAACAGCGAAGGACGGTTGTTTTCTGGCAGTACGTGCTAGACTGTCCGCCCGTGCATTCCGTGTTCTTGGTACATAGATGATATTCGAGCTATTGAAAC